TTAGAAAAGTCATAGCACTAATGTCCCCACCGAGCCGCACGTTTTGGTACCTTTTTGTGTATGTGCGACCAAAACTGCGGGAGGAGTAGTCGACCGAAAAACGTACGGAAGAATAATAAGTTTATTAAGTATGAGGGATAATAGTAGTGTGCTTTGCAGGCACACTAATAAACCAAAAATACAGTAACAAGTTCAGAGTAATTTTGCCCTGATAATATCCTGTTTTGATTTATAGGTACTGAAAGTCCAACTGAGTAATACAGAAAGGCAAGTGAGGAGTCAAAGTGATACAGTAGTGATACAGTTGTGAAGTCCATTTCTGCTTTGAAGAAATGCTGACAGTAATAAAAACAGGAAGTAAACCACTGAAAGTGGTTGTTGAAACAAGTTTTTCTTAGATGTTTGCTTTATCTTTGCATGTTTTGAATGTGGCCGTGTTTTGGCCGAGAGTTTGCTTTCTGGTTTTCTGATTTCCATCGTGTAACACTGCCTCTGTATGATTCTGATGAATACTCACAGTGCACCACCAGGTTGTTTCTGAGCCGACGAGGGCTCGCCGAAGTTGGATGCCACACCAGACAGTCCAGCTTCTTGCCATTCATGCTTCTCAAGGGGTGCAGAGAGTATTGCAAGGAGACCACCCCATTGTTGGAGGATCGACTGGTGGACTGGCCGTTCAAGTCGGAGTCCCAGGAGAGGCGAGGAGGCGGGCGGGCTACAGAGCGACAGGAAGCAGCCTGCCTGTAGGACTGTCCCTCGACTAGAATCACAGGGTCCAGGGAGGAGATAGGAATGGCTGGAGGGGGGATTGTTACAGTGTTTGATCAAAGTGAAGATAATGATGAGAAGTCAATACACTTAACAGATAGTGAGACATATAACCTTTAAAGAGATTTTAAAAAGCCCTGTTAACATATTTTCTAAATAAGCTTCTTAATAAGAGCAACTGGTCCTACAAGAACAAAATAAAATAAATAAAAAGAGAACAGTTTTATTTAATTCACATGAGAGATTTCTTTTTTGTATTTTTGCTTTTCTCTCTGGTTTGAAGTGGGTGGGGCTGAATTGGAGAAAGGCGATGTCGCATATTATTTCCATGCACCAATCACAGTTTAGCAGGCCACTGTCAATCAAATCTGATAAAACCCCATCCACACAGTCCTGATAAAGCAGACTACCTGAGTTTACTTGATTGTTGATTGTTGCTTATTTAGTCAAAAAGTCAAGTTTTGAATGCTATAGAGAATTACATAAGATGTAAATATTTTCATACCGTTTAAACTACTTTAAGCTATAGTTAACTTGTTATTAATAATATGCTCAAGTAGTATTTGCACTATAGTTTGCTGTACATCTAACTGCTAATTAGTAATCGATATAATGCAGACATGGTTGAAATGCCAACAAGGACAGTCAACAGGTCATTTTTATCCATCACAAACAACTCTTTGCATGGCAGAAACATGTTTTAATTTGATTTACTAGCTTGCTACATAGTCTGGTTCCTCTACTCAATGGACAGATTCTGGTCAAAATCTGGACCAAAATACAGTTTAATCTGGACTCCAATAAAAAACGATGATACTGATAATATGAAATCACATTGTGGTTCCTGGACTGGTGATTAATTCCTTATTAGGAGTGTACCAAATACTTGTGAAAAACAACTGACAAATAAAATGTTGGGTAAGTATGAAGCTATTATCATGTATCACTACATTATTAGTCATGTAGTAAACTAATCTTTTACTACTGTATGGGAGAGACTCACTCCACACGATGAGTGACATCTCTGTGTCAAAGTTTCCTGAGGGGAAGGTACTAATGTGGCAGATGTATTTCCCCTCATCTGAGACATCTGTGTTCGCGATGACCAGAGACGAGTCCGCGGTGGGGTCGCTGCTTTTAAAGCGCACACGTTGAAGCCATGTTCCAAATGCTGTAGACAGAGAGGCAGAAGAAGAAGGAAAGAGACAGACAGTAAGGAAGGGAGAGAGTTAAAGGATCATGTGAGGAAGGATGTGACACAAAAAATTAAGCCCAGCAAGTTTAAAACAGACCTCAGGGTTTCTTTTGTCACTTTCGGTTCCATACACATGCCTCCACCCTTGCTTGAAATTGCAATTACATTGTGGGGGCTTAGCTCACGGTCTTACCCAACATGTCTCACACTCACAGTGGTTGTAAGCTGCAATTCCCTAAATCACAACAAATCAACCTAAAGAGACAAAACCAAAAATACACAGTGCAAAGACCAGAGCCTTGCCACCCCTGAAATATTCCTGTGATATCACAGAAAATTTGTCAGTGTCTCTCACAGTCCTCAGTTGTGAACACTTGCCTCGAAGCTCTATTAGTTCTATGAGTGGAGGAATAAAAGTCTGCAACCAACACTTGTCAACTGAAACTGATACATCAACTAGTAATTCCACAAGAAAGTTTGCTTGGTGCTAAAAATGATAAGAAGACATTTCTCACTTTGAGGAAAGGGGAAGTTATTCAGTGTGATGATATTCTTTATAAGCTTGTGGCAGACAATGTGACGTGACTTAAAAAAAGCCACTAGAGCTTGATCATGATGACAACTGACCTTCCTGTTCATTACTGTTTGCAGTGATGATCTGGTCCTTTGTGGCGTCAGGTTCCTCCTTAAACCAGGTGACCTGCACCACCACACCGCCCGTGGCTGGCTGGTAGCGGCAGGGCAGGACGGTCTCCTTTTCTGCCAAGGAGTGTATGGAATCGTCTGCAGGGAGATCCACAAAGTCTCCCTGTACCACTGTAACTAAAAGAGGAAAGGGGCAGATAAGTAAATACATCTGACTGTTCAAGCTATAAAAAACATGTAAAGAGAAAGAGACATCAACCCTTTCAGAGATCACGCTGGTTAAATGATAAATTATATTTCAACATGCGACCCACTGACACTGAGATCAACCTAGCTATGGGGCCACTGCTCTGAGCAGAGATCGATCTTTGACCTACAACCCGAACCTGCAGTTACAATTACAATAGCTCTAGGAGAAAGACGTCAGGATTTCACCGCATTTGCTAATTTACACATTTTTTACCCAAAGAAAACAGCTCATCTCGGTAATTTGCTGATTTAGCCATGCAGGAAGAAGCTAATATTGCAACGTTGTGCACTTGCCAAAAGAATGCAGTCTAGTCTCACTAAGTTCACTGACCTTTCAAGTTCAAACTATGGCTGTAGGCCACCTGTCTATTGTTATCTAGGCTGGGTAGAGTGAATAAAAAACAAAGCACTATCATTTTGGTCCTGGCATCATCTGTTTAGCTAACTTGTGCTCTGAATAATTTGTGGTTTTGTATTTTCCAACCGACATCAATACTGTTACATTAAACAAACTGTCATTGTTTCTTTCTGTAAATGCAATTCACTTAATTAATAATGATGAGTGTTACATTTGAAGTTAAAGACAATACAGATGTGATAATGAAAAACAGCATCCACAGAGTGCCCCCAGTTCATTCAAGGTTGAAGAGTTTTAGAAGACAGAAACTAACTTCCTGCAATGTCAAAGTAATCCTTTAAAGGACCGATGTGTAGAAGTCAGTGGCATCTATTGGTGTAGTTGCAGATTACAACCCCCTTGTCTCACACTGTTGTTCCATGCCTGTAGAAGAAACTATGCTTGCTGTGAAACCCCCCGAAAAAAAATGTGACAGGCCAGTAGTAGAGCCAGTGTTGGGTTTGTTCGTTCTTCTGGGCTACTGTAGAAACATGGTGGTTCAACATGGCAGACTCCCTATCACGGTGGGGTTTAAAGAGTCCACACAGAGTGAAGACAGAAAAGGAGGAGAGAGAAAACAGGTTGTCTATCAGAAGAGCTAAGTACCCGTGAAGATATGTCGCTTAACTAGTTGCTCGAGACAAGTTTTCAAAGCAAACTTACAGGTGGGTTACCTCAGTTGGACAGAGTGAGACATTCAACAAGGCCTGAGGAAACATATGGGACATAAAACACAGTGAACACACACTGTGTATTGAGCGTCTCACACTGTCACGCTGCAACATTCAAACCACAAAAACTCGCACAAATCTCTCATTTTTCTACTTCTGCCCGTCTGTTTACAGATCAAATTTGCTAATCCGTTTGATGTAGGCGAACTACAATGAATCGCCTTATCTTCTGCTGTCATCCAGCACTCACAAAATGTAATGTTTGCCACCTAAATGCCTGAACAGGTGAATAATAATGACAATGTGCTATTATATTGCTGCTCTTGGCCCCGGGCTTGTGTTGCTGGTGATTGATTTACTGTCAGAAGGAGTGGTTTCCTGATGCCGATGACCCTGTTGAGATTGAATGAAAACTGCTTGCATAGGAAATTAACTGCAGCAAACAGATTACTCATTGCTAATGATATATCAATTCACAACATTGTGGACATCAACAAAGATGATAGATACATAGCCATAAACAGACATACGAGAGAACATATAACATATAGAATAGCATATAGAACAGATAATTAAATACCCAAATACACAAATTATCATATTTCTGAACTATTAGTGATATAGATTATACATCCCATAAAAACAGTATATATACTATATAGTAAATGAATAGATAATATAGACATAATTTAGTAATACTAGATAGTTATGCATAATAGTGATCAGATAAATATGTGATGGATAGATAGAAGATGATGGTGATAGGATGATGTGTGATGTATGTGTGTAGAGATAGATAAGCCAGCATCGTGACAAGAAGATGGAGCGATAGACAACAAGACTACAAGTAGGGTCTGACAGGACCATGCTAACAGCTCTGTGACACTGTAGGCACAGCAATATTGTGAGCTAAATGCTAATGTCAGCATACTGTTAAGTGGTCTAATGTTAACCAGGTTCACCGTCTTAGTTAAGCTTGTTAGCATGCACTTGCTAATTAGCACCAACCACAGAGTACAGCTGAGGCTGATAGGATTGTCAGTCATTTTCAGGCCTACACACTGGACCTTTAAGCCATTGTGAAATTTAATACACTTTATCCTAAGGGGGGATATGAATGTCTGTATCAAATCCATGGCCCATAGTTGTTGAGACACTGCTAAAAGCACACTTGTGAACCTCATGGGGGTGCTAGAGAAAACAGGGGATCAGGGGATTTCCAAAGTTACAACTTAAGTCTGGACTAAAGTAATAGAAGGACAGATTGACAGACCATCTGATATTACCATCCATATGCTGCTGGCAAGGCTAGTAAAAAAAAAATAAAAAGTCAAGTTACAGAGCCAGAACATGTGCGAACTTTATGGTACAGTAGTTGCCTTTAGTCCCACAAATGTGCTGTTAATATAGTTTCTGTTTCATGTGTGAACAGAACATGATTCTGTAGATAACACCGATTTCCATTAAACCAAGCACTCACCCAAGAAAGGTAGCTTTGTAACATAAGTTCACAACTTTTACAGGTGTTGATTCAATACCTGATGTGGGAATCTGTTCAGATATGTCAGCTGGTAGGATATGATTCATGCATTTACCATCAGACATGATGAGTGTGCTCTGCAGACAGGTGTGTTTTTCCATGAGTGTGTGTGTTTGAGTGTGTTTGTCACCCAGAGATTTAAGCCTACTGTGGAATCTGCCTGTGCTGCATTACTGGCATAACACTGGCATAACCTATGCTGACGTTCTGTAAAGGATCAAAAATGTTTTAATGCTGCGCTCTTATTTATCATTGACATTGGGTAAGTATTTGCATTTGGTACATACATTCCAGACCTTACCTGTTTGGTAAGTAATAGGCGGACACTGATTAATGCATCATGATGCATGGTGTTATATTGTACACACAAATTCAGGCTTAAGCAACACACACGCACTCACTAGGAGGGTCCAAGCAGTTCCTCTGAATCAGACAGGAGGAGGGGGAATTGATCAACAGCAACCTGTTTTTCCTGAAATATCAGACAGCGCCACAAGTGTTTTTCCTGCCAGCTCAGTCTATCCCGGAGAAAAGCTGGCCACCTGCCCACAGTGTACAGAACCCAGCCTAATGAATATGCATGACATACTGTAGGCAAGCTATTAGACAGCTTTCATAATGAAGACAACTAAAGGCTACTTCTACAGTCTAAAGTATTTTCTTAAATAACTTTTTTTTTTAAATGTTCTTCCAAATTTTACCACATAGATATTCAGTCTGCCGCAATGGCAGTATGAGCAGGTCTACCAGACAGTATAGAAGTATTGTAGGAATACTGAGCTACACATGAAATAGTCCACAAAAGTCACTACGTCCTAATTGTTGAATGAAAACAGTAAGGCCCTCAAATAACATCATGTCTGACACCAGACAAAGACACAAACATACTGTAAAGTCTTAAAAGAATGCCATAGATGTAAGATATCACTTTGGACAGACTCCATGTAAAGCCTTCTTACCAAAGATCCTGAGGACACAGAGACACAGAGAGAGCGCGTTCAGCAGAGATGTCATTCTCCTCGGGAGTTACTGTTTCTGCGTTGTAATAAAGCTCATCAGTCCAGGTAATAGTATCCTAAATGACAGGCATGCATAAAGCACTGAGACAGACTCATGCCTTGAGCTGCCGGATCATCCTTGGTGGTGTTTTGTTGTTGTTTTTTTGTCCAGAACCAGATCCCTTCCAAAATGCAGCTGATAAACTCAGACCTTGTGAAAAGTGTAAATCCTCTCAGTTTGGTTAGGTGTTGGTTTGTCAAGCACACGCCATCATGTTTGCCCTTTAGAAAAAAGAAGGCGCAGCTTTACCTGTTTGGGATACACCTGTTTGTGCTACACCTCTATTTCTCTCTCTCCCTCTCTCTCTCCTCTCTCCTCTCCCTCTCATCTCCATCTCCTCTTACTCATACACGACCACACACTCACACTAAAAGTCACCTTTCCGGTTTGGTTAAGGCAACATGACAGTTATTTTCTCGTCTTTACTTGCTCTGCTCAGAGGAGAGGCAGCTGAAAAGCATGCAATGGGGAGCCAGTTTCAACTGTGTCCAAATGACGCAGACCGAATATTATAATAGGCTGCTATACTAGGCTGAAAACAAAAGGTGCCTCCTCCCATTGGGAAAAAAACAAATTAATCCTTTCTTTTAAAAGGGATCATCAGTAATGCCAACAAAGAGGAGTGACACAGAGATGCAGATTTTCACCATCTAAACCAATCTGCCCACTTCTTATCTCAAAATACTAATATTTGAATCAAGACATTTAATTGTTTAAGTAGAATGAAATGTCATCTCATAAATCAATAGTATTCCCCAACATGATGGCGATTTCTTTTTCTCCTTTATTGGCTACATGTTAAACAAGTTTTTAATCAGTCAGATCTGTCATAAATGTGACCCACATTAAATCTTTTCAGACTCTCACAAGCCTTTATGAGCTACATACAATCTGTCGGTAACCAAACCACTGTCAGAAAATTATTGTTTCTATGTCTTTTTGTAGTTGTTTACCTTACGACTGGAGGTTTACCACTCCCTATATAAACGTTATAAACGTTCAGGAGACAGGTTAGCCCTGATACACTGCTTCAAAGAGAGACAAGGTCATTTCATAAGCAAATTAAGTTTAATAGGTTTTGTTTATAACAGCTTTATGCATCCACCATACAGCAGTTAACATACAAAACTTTACAGCAGTCTGTCTAAATTAAATTCTTTTACAGAGAAGAGTGTGTGTGTGTGTGTGTGTGTGTGTGTGCGCGCGTATGAACAGGTAGGAGCTCAAAGACACCATCACTGCCATCCTGTGGTGTGTAGGGAACACACAGTTCTCAGTATCTCAAAGGCTTTACTGAGAAGATGAGCATGGCAATATGGTTTCATAACTAAATTTACTATCTCCTATCTTGCACAAAACTATAACACTTCTGCAACTATTTGCCATCCCTATGTAAAAACACTAACATCTTCCAAATTTCCCAAAAGAGGAAGTTAGTTGGAGAGTCTGTAGCAGGAGGCCTGAGTACATCAGCTATACACGAGAAATATATCATTTAATTTATAAGTATTACAATACAAAATGTCTCTGAGGCACCACAGTTATTAAAATATGTTTGCGTAAAACTTAAATATGTGCAACAGAGCTTTAAAAATAACAAGAAAGTAAGCAAGAAAACTTTCTGTCTCGTCCTTCTTAACTTCCCATAAATTGCGAGCAAAAGGGAAATGAACACAGTCTCACATTCTCTGAAAAATACAAGCAGGGAAGGTTATGCAATATTTAAATACAAAAATAAGTTTTTAAAGGAAATGATCTGTCTTGGGCCTTGGCGCACCACCTCATTTTTTCATGCCAATAGTTTCATATGTGTCCTGTGCGTGAGGAGTCAAACCCTGGGAGGAAAGCAGAAGAGATGAGAAATTACTAACCATAATTTAACATTGAAGCAATTAGCTTTCATTATTCACAGCATCAAAACTCACCGTGTAGATGCCCTCTTCAACATTCTGTCAGGGGTAGAAAAGAACAATATTAGATAACAGTAAGAAAACAAATTAAAGAATTTATGTCTGTCTTCTTATTGGCAGCAACGAAGTGCGTAGATGTAAAGAGGAAGGCAAAGAACAAGCTATATAAGGTGATGCAAGCCAGAAAGCAATACACCACATGTGTACACTCCAGAGTGTGTGTTTGTGTGTGACAGAGTGCACAGTTTCTGGCTGCTAATAGGAAATAGTAAACTAAAAAGGCAAAGCAGTAAAACAGCGGGTTAAGAGCTCTTGTAACCAAATAAAAAACTTTTAAAAGTTTTGAAACCAACAGAAATTTAGTTTTTCACAAGTAATAAACAAGGAAGTTGTTATTAAAGTGGCTATATTTAAAAAGTTCTGCCCATGTCATAAACTTTTTGCAATTTTGAGCAATCTAGTGGCAGTTCTTTTCATATTCCAGTGACAGGTGGTATATGCCTCACAGCATCTTGGTGGTCTTGAGCAATCGAAACTTTTTCAGAGCAGAGCTGTCATGTAAACAGCTGACAGCACATACATAGCTGCTGAAAAACTTCAATACGTTTGTGGGACGTGGTATGTGCCGATTTCATTCTTTATATCGGTGTTTGCCCACTGAGGTTTGACCTTAACGGTGGGATAATTTTTGCCTCCGGATAAGCTTTGTTCTAAAACCCCAGTTTGTGCTGTGGTGAATTGTGTACGTGTCTCTGCTAAATTTTAGACTACATGTCTTCGTGTCTATTTTAGTCATGTATATAAAGTGTGTATGAGTTCATTCTCACCTGCTTGGGCTTTCCTTTCCCAGCTTCAGCCTCCTTAGCATTGTAGATCTGTAGAAGACAATGTTAAATGAGTGATAATTGAAATACTTACTGTAGTTTTACCATCCATTTATACGATAGTTTTTATATTGTATTTTCATCAGATATTCAGTTAATTTTGCTGGCCATACAAACATATTGGTACGTCAGTGAAGATTGTACTCCAAACAAGCTCATTTAAGTTTTATTTTGGGAGAAAATGTAACTTTTTCCAAAATGGCGAATGCCAACAATGTGACTCTTTTATTTCCTTTAGTTACAGCACCCTCACTACATACACTCCTCTTGCAAATATGCAGTACATGCACAGAGGAGAGTAACAACCGCAGAGCAACAAGTCAAACCAAAATCTAAAAATAACAGAAAAGTACATCAGTATAATATATATTTCTTAATATATATACATATATTTATTTTTTCACTTTTTCTTTTATTGCCTTTAATGGATAGTCACAGTAAAGGGGAGTGAGAGAGGGAATAAGATGCAGCGAGTGGCCGCAGCAGCAAGGACTCCGCCGTACACGGGGGGACTAGCATTACCAGGTAAGCTATCTGGGAGCCCCTTCATCAGTAAAATATTAGCGTTTTCTGGTAAAATGCTTCGTGTCTTTGATCCTTTTTTCCTTTCCTGCATGTGCAGAATGCTTTATTTTGCTGATGACATGATATTTTTCTCCCAGACATTAATAATGCACCAGATTAGTTTTGATGATACTACATCTTGTGTTTCTTCAGACAATGCAAATTAAAAAGATTTTTTTTGCATATATGTAATTTGTGATATATGTTTAATATGCGATATGAAAAAGTTCACTTCTTTTCCATGTATGTTTCTGTAAAGGCAAATATGTAGCACACAAACCTTGATTCTACAGTAGAGAGCCGTCAGGATGATGCCGTACAAAAACAGGATCCCATCCAGAATGTAACAGATCTGTGGCTCCGCAAGACCAGCGGCTGGAACACGGGAGAACGCTTCGTTAGGATCAAAACCATAATAACATAATTTCTGTATATGTTGATGGTGTTGTTCCAATGAATCATTTTAAGGGATTAAAAAAGATTCATGGCACTGGATTGACATCATCAGCACCCCTCCTCCTTAAAGTTGGCCTCATCTTGAACAATTTTATCACACAATTTATCTGGTGTTTTTCATTGCTTTTAGGGAAACACACTTCTTACATAACTATTTCTGCTTTCAGTGAAGCTGGGGCTGTTTCATTGTCATTTGAGTAACCAGAGTGTTATCATTTACGATTGAGACACAAACCGTAACCGCAGCCATTACATGAGAAAGCAAAGGGTACAGTGCGTGAGTGAACAATGTGTGCTATCTAGAATAGTTCTTATACAATCTATGGATAGATATTTAAGGGTAGATGGGGAGGAAAAGTACACACACAGGACTGCACATGTAATTTTGTGCATGAAAGGATTAAATATATTATTATTTCATTGAATACTATTAGGAGCAGGAGCATGTGGAGGTTGACAGGCTTTTATGGATGATTGTTTTCATCTTGCGGCTGTTTAAAATATTTTTAAACAAACTTTGTTGTATATGCAAGCACATTAATATGTTAACAGTTTGGCTTTATACCCATGATTGTTTTTCTAAGCCTTCTATATCCAAGATACAGATTAGATGATTTAGATGTTTAAAAAGATTACACATTTCTGAGAAAAAGCAACACAATTTCAGTAGAGTGAATGGATTTGGAATAATCACAGATTAATAGTAGAATACCCCTTTGATTCACTTTTAAGCAGAAAAAAATGTGTCATCATAAGCACAAACGTGAGCAATGACAAAAATTAAAGAAAAAGAATGGTATCCAGCTTCTCTCCAATAAAGCTAACACTGACTTCTCCTGTAAACAGATGCAGCGATTGAGTCATCGTTTGACCAACCACTCGAAGAAATGTCATTCACACGAAAGTTAAAAATACTTTAGTATTAGCTACCATTTCTAACCAGTGGAAGAGAAACTACTGGATCACATCAAGAGGCATTAATGATAGAGGTAAAATACTGACTAAAAGATAAAATCACCTGAGATTAAGCATGTCCCAGTGCAGAGTGTACAAAGTGTAATACCTCGCCTAAATACGGTGCTATCTGTATACTTTAATAAAGGCTACTGGAAGAAAAAATATAACAAACCCAAACCTTTGTAAACTAGCTTTTAAAAGGTACGTTTTATTTACTTCTTGGGCTTCCTGGTGAACACAGCCAGGACTCCCCTCGCAGAAGGCTTTTATGCGTCTTTGACCTTTCATGCAGGGAAGAATTTGTTGCAGAAATTGCGAGCAAACTCTTTACAAAAGCACAGTGACACAGGGTCATGTTTTCACTCATACCTGTCCCTGTAAGGCGTTTCTGAAAATACAGCCAATATTTGCAGAATATATTGGCCCTGTGTTAGCAGTTATTGATCAGAAATCGGAATGTTAGCTTCGGTATTGTATGATTATTTAAGACTGCCTTACTGTGTGCTTCATACTGTATTGTACGGCAAGATCTAATTTTTGATGCAATAAAGATAGCTATTAGTGACTGTGGATTTGTGTATGTCTTTAATTTTCTCCTCCACCCCTCATTTTAATTGGTTGATTAAAATGTGTTAAACAATTGATGCATAAAAAACTATTTTGATTATAATGTAATGTGGATGTTAATGTACAAATATGGATCCCTTGCATTTAATTTATCAATGTTGTTTTCAGCACTTATAAAATGTTTATTTATATAATTTGTATCTCCTGTTCTAACATTGACATTTTCATTACATGATCACTTAAAAGTTACTTCTCTTTAATTTAAAAATGCACAGAAAAAAAACAAGGCAGTCCAAAGCACTGGGCAGAGTATCAGGCTCGGATTGGTCAAATGAAAAGAGAAGAATTAAAAGGATAACGAAAGTTAAAAACGATGAAAAAGAAACTGTGGGATTAAATACGTTGACAGGAAGACAGATTTGTGAATTAAATGAGTAACATTTCAAAGCTTTTCAAAAGCATAACTGACACAATTTCAAGAGAAATTAGTCTTCCTTATTGTTTTCTTTCTATTTCTCCAATAGTTTTTATCAATACATTTACATTTCATTAAACACATTTCACATTCTTTTTTAATGTGTCATTAAACTGACTCAAGGATTCCAGTAACACAGTCCAGACTTCACAGATTTGGTGATATTGATCTTTTTCAGATCAGTGAAGACAGTTTACACACTGTCCAATCAAATTTGAGCTGTAATATTATGTGTTACTATGTTTGAGAATGTGCAGTATATGTTTAGATTAATTCATTTTTTATGGAATACAAATGTGATTGGGCCTTTCAAGCCATTGGAATTAAGTGAGTTCTGACAACATAGTGCAACATATACAGTAAATATAACTGAGGTTTCTTTCCGTACATTACATACACTTCTCTTTGATGAAATCCCCAGACTTCAGACGTCATTTTCTGTTCCTTCCCTTTCTTTGTCCTCAATTACGCATTCAAAGAAATTAATCACTATGACATCTGTGTTCACATGATTATTACCTATAGAGGATCATTTCCAAAGAATCTCCTCTTTTTATAGAAACAGCAAAATTACATATGATTTGGAAATATCCATTTGATATTGACTGATATTGTTGGACATGTTTGGCTTGTGGGTTATGGGTGGACAGTTTCCCTGTAGAGTCAATAGACCAGTAGACATGTTAAATTCAGTGCTGAATGCCTCTACTCAGTCGTACATGTGGGAGATGCGGTGTCTTATCTACATGAGCATCTCCTCTGGTTTCCGCAACACACATACAGCATATGGGTTCAGGAAACAGACACACTAACTATTAGCTTAATATTAAAGTGTGACGTGTGTTACACTTCAGTATCACACATTACGCAGAATGCACCATTATGCTCCACTAGTATTTTATATCCAACCTAGGAGCTCACAAGTGGATATTGTATTTTAAGGGTCTAAGAGGGCTTGCAAACAAGGTGAAGTGTGTAAACGCAACTAAATACACCCTTTTCTCTTTTAAACTGTTACACACAAGTTGTGGTTTGCAGTTAAAACTGAAATATCTCAGGTATATTATCGCTTACATTTTGAATAATCCTGTTTAATTTGATTTTCTGAGTTGCACAAGAAAACATGAATTGCAGATGTCTATGGCTACAACATTTATGATTACTTTCATAATCAATTAATCTAATAATTTGGCTATAAACTATAAAATATCAGAAAATAGTTAACAGTGTCACCAACCACCAAAACCCCCAAATTAGGCCTGCTTAGTTCCATTTAAGGTAAAGCAAGAAAAATGAGCAAATCCCCACATTTGAGAAACTGGAAACATTAAATATTTGGCTTTTTTGCTTTAAAAAAAATAACTTAAATGAAATTATTAAAATAGTTGCTGTAATTGGTGTACTTGTAATGTCTTCCTGGCCTGTTACGCTGCATTCCCACCAAATGCAAACACAACATTAGACCCCTTTACTGACCGTTTTAAGGCTAAATATTTGTCTGTACTTTACATTGAAAGCTGTAAAATTACTTTATTTCTTTCTACTTTCTTTTCTTAATATCATAGCTGTTTCAAGGCAGTGTAAGGAGCAGCTGTTAAAGTTGTGATGCAAACATCTTTTTTGTTTTACTATAGTAGTCCAATATACATATATATATACACTAATATATACACTACAGTAAAATGATTAGGAAGCTGAACCTGCTATACCTGATCTAATAAACAGAACTTATTAGGTTGCAGCAGGGGCTGCGTGTGAACTGGTTTGTCACTAGCGGTAGTTAAAAAAATAGCCATGCACACCGCCCTCAGTGCTTTTTGCCACAAGTTACAAGAACTGACAGGATCAGCTTCTCTTTTCACAGGAACTCTAATGTGGTGACTGTATTTCTGCTGCCTACACAGAATGGAATAAGGCCCAAAGTTAGAAAACCTTACAGTTTTAAATAAACACATACCCGTCTGCCAGCATCGAGTAGTGGTACTTTCAAAAATGATTTTAGTCTAGGTGTGTCGTACACGGCTAAAGTGTTCATTCTAATCTTAAAATCCTTTACCCTCACCCTGGTTAACCATTGAACTCAACAGCACAGCCTCTGTTCAGTCATACTGTATGTGAATTAGGTTATTTCTTGTTCTTATCCTAAATTAAAAAGTCATCACAGTGAGGCCTTTACACATTGAACCACCCGTACAACCCTGAGCAATATAAAAACTCTCCTCCTCAATTAATGTCACAACTCACCAGCTCTCCCAAAACTCATCCACAGAGGAATCGCCAGCAATAACGGGCTCCTGCCCCACACAGCCATGGTAACACGGGCTCAACACGATAACTAGGCTCCTTCAGCAACCAACACACAGCAAACAAGACCAACGGTGAATGTGTTTTTTTTCTCTGCGTTGTGATAAAGCACTCGAATGTTGCACACTTCACAGCCAAGAGGGGAAGTTGTGGTCTGAGCTTTAAGTCCATTTGTCTCAGATCAGACCACTCCCCTTCTAACACCAAACCAGAGGAAGGACAAGCAATCGAGGCTTTAGTACCTGCTGTCATGTTTAATACTTGATTTTCGCTCATGTTTTCAGACAAGTCAAGGAAATGGGGCATTTGAAAAAAAGAAATGTTTTTGATCTTCTAAGTTACCCTTTCCAGTGTAACAGTGAAAAACACAACTCACTACTTTGCTGTTCGGTGATAAAATATTTATTAGGTTTATTTGGACATTGTACATCACTGACTATGAGCAGAGTCATCTGTCAAAAGCCTCACTACAGCGGATAGTGAACAGGAAGAGAACCTGACTAACAGATGTGGGGAGGAGAGAATGAATGCTCCTCTTGGGGCAAAAACATGAGCAGCATCGCGTTAACGGTCAACCTCGCCAAACACTATGTCCTGTGTACCTGTCAGAAGAAGAAGAACAAAAGGCTCAGTATAGATTCATACTTAGATTTGCATTTTTACAAACTCCAGAGAGGAGATTTTTGTCCTTTTGAAGCTGGATTCTTGAACAATAATCACTCTCTTACCAATAATGGCCACCACATCAGCGAGCATGTGTCCTTGGGACATTTTATCCAGACCAGCCTAGAGAGAAGAAAACATTTATTAACATTCAGAACAACTGAAGACCAGCTACCACTATTGAGGGCAGATGAGCTCATACAAAAGTGGATATTCATAATTCATAAGATTATAGCCTGAAGTTAATGCACTAACTACTCTAATAGTTTGTTTATGCAACTTTAAAGACATTTTTAGCCTAGACAACCAAATTCAAATGACTCTGTTAAACAGTTCATGTACCCATGAGCTAAGAGACTAGCAGGAAGGAGGGAGAGGGGGGAGGGGATCTGTACGCTTTTAAAAATGTTTCGATAGTACATTGTAAAATGTACTTAATGAAGTAAAAGTAGCCTTAAGGACAAGCCGTTAAACGTGTTGAATAAATGATACCCGGTGTGTTTAATATTTCACTGTGTTTTGAGTGCGCACCAAGTGAGCGAATCCAGGAGCTTTGATCTTGCAGCGATAGGGTCTGCTGGAGCCGTCTGATACCAAATAAACACCAAACTCTCCCTGCAAGCGACACACACACACACACACATAAATAAACTTGAGTAAGCATATTACATCACAACAAATCTCTAAAGGCTTACAAAGAAAGGCTTTCCAATTAATTAAGACTCAAAGAACCTAATGTATACTAAGGATCTACAGAGTGGTACACTTAAAAAAGTGGGATTTTTATTTGCTAAAAGTCTACTGGGGCATCCACAGATTATCTGATTTAAGAGGCTTGTCAGAGGAAAATAGCAAAAAAGGCATATTTTATACCAAATAACATTACACGTGCTCTCACCTTGGGTGCCTCCACAGCTGTGTATGTGGCCCCTGGGGGGACCTGGTAGCCCTCTGTGTACAGTTTAAAGTGGTGGATCAGAGACTCCATTGACATCTAGGACAAGGAATACATAAAACATGTCTCAGCTGCTGTTTTTGTAACAATGCACTCAAGAGTTAGAGGAAGTTGAATGTGCCTATGATGACACAAATGTAAAATTGTAACACTGAAAGTTCTGAGGTGATCTCAAGCTTCGAAGGCAGCCAAGTTAAAGTGCATCTTACAGAAGAACTGGGCTAATTCTGTAACAGGTTAGTGCGACGACAAATTAGCGACACCACTGATATTTAATTAAAGTGCAGAAGTGAAACCTTGGCAGGAAAAAGGTTTCAAGATTTAATAGCCTGCAGGCATTATAAACTCTTTCCATCACATATTTC